GGGAGGTGAGTTCCCAAGTGGAAGAGTCACATCTTCTGTTCTCAGCAGTGGTGTTGGCATCAGCAGTTGAAGAATGTTCATCCCTGTATGCAGAATTAATTGGAATGAATTCACAGAAGTACATGGTAGCTTTTAAAAATGTGCTTCCCATGAAGAAAAGCAGAGCATGTCAGGAAGGATGTGTTCAGTCATGTCTTACCTGCTGCATGCTGACTGTGCTCCTTCCTGCCAGGCCATGGAAGAGCTGGTGGATGCTGGTCTGGTAAAAGCCATTGGAATCTCCAACTTCAACCGTGAGCAGACTGAAAGAATCCTGAACAAACCAGGACTGAAGCACAAGCCTGTAAATAATCAGGTAAGCTGCAAAGTGACTGCAGGGGAATACTTTTCAGATATTTTAAAGCTCTGATTACAGTTAAGTGAGGAGGTGGAAAATGGAGAACAAAGTAGACACAGCATGTACTTTAAATCCCTCTCTCTGGATATTTCTTCATAGAAACAGAACCACAGTATTTCCTTCTTGTCTCATCTTGTTGAACCACTAACTTGGGAGTATTCTCCTAGGAGCCATTCTCTCTGGAGGCATGAAGAATCCAGATATGAACAATCATTCTGACATAATGATTGACTCTTAAAAAGCCTCTCAGAAAAAATGTCCAAAAAGCAGCTAAAGACTGAGTGTAAAAGCTGATGCCCTATAGAATTACAGTCTTGTATTGTCACATAGGCCACCTGCAGGGTTGGGTGAAGGCAACCTGTAATTTGCAATTTAGGATTCAGAAAAACCTCTGGAGCAAGGGGAAATTACAGTAGTTTTACAGCTCTCACTCTCTGCTTCTGTATTGGCAGATTGAGTGTCATCCATACCTTTCCCAGGAGAAGCTGATTGACTACTGCCACTCCAAAGGGATCACTGTGACAGCATACTGTCCCCTTGGACGTCCTGATGGGTAATTTCCTAGTGGGTTTGCATGATTTAAGTCTGAAGCATTCAGACTAATCAAGTAATGGTGCAGGTGTATATATATATATATATATATATATATACTTTTTTTTTTTTAATTAATGGGGCTAGATAGAATCTTTCTGAAGTGATTCTTTGTTGTTTCATCCCTTTCTCCCCCACTTTGTCTAGTTCTAAGCCAGAGGCACCTTCCCTTCTGGATGACCCCAAGATCAAGGAGATTGCAGCTAAGCACAACAAAACCCCAGCACAGGTGAGTAGATGGCAAACAGTGGATACCCCTTCCTGTAACACAGCAATTTAGGAAATTATGTCTGAGGAGAGGGAACAGCCTCTGTGGTGTTACCTGTGAACACTGCTGCTTTTTTGTCTTGTTAACAAGCAATGCAGGTTGTCCATTCTGTGGCCTACAAGATGTACTGCTACTAACTCAGGCCATCAGTCAAGAAAATATTCCTGACTCATTTTCAGTTGTCACTTCCCTTCTCAAGCCTTCTTGCAGAAATGAAAGCCGTGTATATAGTGCAAGACTTCTGAGTGTTAAGAAAAGAAATTGACTGGCCCAAACCCACAATGGAAAGGAGACCTTCCATGGGGGCTTCCACCACTTACTTCCCTCTTTGCTTTCCAGGCAGTACAACCTGGACTGCAGGGACAGGGCTGGTTTGAAATGCAGCTTTGCAGAAGTGGGTATAGATAAGGAAAACAGCTGTTGGGACAGGAGGAAGGATTGAGTTGTCTGTTCTTGCAGGTTCTCCTTCGCTTCCAGATCCAGAGAAATGTGATTGTGATTCCCAAATCTGTCACCCCACAGCGCATCGTGGAGAACTTCAAGGTGAGGGATGAGGAGTGAGCTGGGTGCTGCCCCTGAGGGATGGCCTGGCAGTGATCCTTCATCACCCTTGCCATGGCCTCCTGCAGCAAGAGGGCTGGGCTGTTTCTGTCTGTCTGTCAGTTAGGCCTTCAGTGAAGAATAGACAGAGCTCTTGGAAACAGGATGCTGTTAACCTTATCAGGCACTTTACATGGTGTGTCCTGTTCTTCTGTTTCTTCCCTCTGCCAGTAGAGTCTGGAAAATCCAAAGATATTTCTTTTCCTTTCCATGTTTCATGAATCCATCACTTGTAACCAGCATCCTTTCTCATATGAACTTGTTCTTTCATCTTGTGAATCTTGCTTCTGATTGGATTTGTTCAAAGAAGTTAAATCCAGCTGGTTTTCTCTTTTTAGGTGTTTGACTTTGAACTGACTAAAGAGGAGATGGCAACTCTCCTTAGCCTAAACAGAAACTGGAGGATCTGTGAAATGCTCACGTAAGTGACAGTTTGTGTCCTTCAAACTCCTACATTTTCTGTGATCTTTATTCTGATCTTACAGGAACAGGTATAGCTGTTCAAATTTGGTATATTTTGAAATATGAAATAATTTTGGGGATGAAGCATCTGTTGTTATACTTCTACTTTATTGACTGAAAGGCGAGCATAAGTTGTGCTGTGTGTTCATTGTAAATCCATTCTCCAGGAAATTTTGTATGCCTGGAATTTCAAAATTAGGGTTTTAGTTAATAACTTTGGCTGCATCTTTATGGGAGAAACTTTTTTAAACTTAGGGTAATTTTTTTCTGGGGGGTATTACAAATTGATGCCAGGTGGTTACACAGGTGTTTGTAGTGTGGAATGACCATCTGTTGTGCAGTAAAAAGCACAGCTGTTGCAGATACATGCCTTAAAGGCCAAGAGAGGAAGTCTTGGCTGCAAGGCCACAGAAACTGCTGCTGTCTCTGTAAGCAGTGTGAATTTTAACTCTGTATCTAGAAAGTAACTTGGTTCAACCACTGTTCAGTGCCTGAATAATAGAAAAAGGCTGGAACTTGTTGGTCCTCTAGGCTGTTTCTATGCTGTCAAGTCTCTTAAGTTCACTCTGCAGGTACTCAGTCCAGAGCCTCCTTTGAAAGCTCCTCTGTACACACACTGTTGTTCTATATAGCAATTATTTAATCCATGAGTAATCTTTCCTCTTTGTTTTCCTCCAGGTGCAAAAATCACAAGGAGTACCCTTTCAACGCAGAATACTGAAGGTGTTTGTTTTTTTCTGCCCTCTCTCAGTCCTCCAAGGTCTAATGAGCTTGTACCATTGCCTCAAACTGTGCACTGTGTAGCTTACACACTGTATCCCTCTTGCTGGCAAAGGCACAGGATATGTGTTCAGCGACTTTGGGTTTCCTTCTTTGGTGGAAGGAGACTGTATAATTGTTCTGAAGAACCAAGTGTGGGCTATGGTAATTCTCATTTCATGAGTGTCTCTGCATGGCTGAAATAGCAAAGGAGAAAACAAAGGGAAGAGGGAACTAGCAACTGAATTTACCTTCTGTCTTCCATCAGCACCACTTAAGGCTGTAGGGTTAAGGATATGTAAGTGCAAGAGGAAAACCCATCCTGTATAATCACATAATCACTGCCTGAAGGTAAAAGACAAAATTAAGTTCTAGAGTACAGGCCAAAGCTTTCTGGGAAAGAAGAACATCAATGGGACAAGTGTCCAGACCTATAGATGAATGCCAACTCGTATTGGGCCTTATTTTAGTTGCTTTTTTTACAGGCTGAAACTGGACAGAGATTGATGTTTAATTTCATTCTTGATCAAAATAAAAATATTTGGATTACTTCTGGTTTGGAAATTCTGTTCTAATGTTAAAATTAACAAACCCAGAAGCTTGCATTGACAATGTAATTAGAAATAATCATCCCTATTCAATTCTAAGGGATGTCACAAGAGCATTGAGATCTTGTCTTGATCAAAAGTTGAATAATTTGTTATAACAAGCATTGATACAGCAATGCTGAAAAGAGCAATTGAGCAGGACAAGCCTTAGTATGGACTGTGGGTCCACAGCATTGTTGAAGGTTACTTAGATATTAGGGCCCAATGCTGACTGACTCAGTGCTTGTGCTGCACTATTTAACTCAGTATGCAGGGGGTGAATACACTTAGACAAGCTTGAGCTACCTGCATTGTGCATCATTGGGTTGTAGGTATGAGTGCATGGGTGAAAGGTGCTTGACAGATGACAGAAAGGCTGAGAGGCTACCTGTCACAGGAGCATCAAGAGCTTGCCTTGATTAGGAGTTAAAATAACTGGATGTAATGAGCCATGACTGACCAGTTGGTGCAGACAAGAATTGTGGGAGGAGTCTTGGCCCATATGATTGAAAGTGCCAGGAGCACAATAACTGGAAGTGCTGGAAAGCTCTGTGGTGGAAGTGTGGACTGCTCTGGCTGCCAGGCTGTGCTGACATCGATCTAGCTTTACAAGCCCTCAATAAAACAGATTATGGGGAAAAATGACTACACCCACACAGATATCCAAAATTATGAGGACGTGAGGTATAAGAGCATATGTTAGTGCTGAGCTACTGCCCAGAGCCTGACACAGGTCAGAGTCCCCCAGCTGAGGCCACACTGATTCACTGGAGTATTTTATGAAGGGCACACACTTATACATTGTGAATATTTCCAGGTATCATTCTCCTGTCATTTTATCGTCTGTACCTCCTATGAACCATGGCTCTGTTCCCTTACCCCATGACAGATGCAAAAAGAACTTGGCCTTTGTATGTGATTAAAAAGAAAAGAAGCTTTTGTTCTCAAATGAGGTGTGAACAAAACTTGTGCTTTTAGCTTGAGCTAAAGGTTATGAGGTTATGAGAGACAGGACAATGGACCTCGAATTCATTACAGCAAATGCAAACCTTCTGCCCAAAATCCTTTCTAAAAGACAGAGACATTTCTCAGTCAAGAAACCATTGGGGGAAAACCCCCGGATTAGGATGGCAGCAAGCCTCTCATGCAAACAGCTTGGCTTTAATACTGTACTCCTAATACCACAATCTTTTCACTGATTTCACTATCCCTCAAACCAAAGCCCAGGAGTCTGAGCATGCTCAGAGCAGATTTACAGAGAAGGAATCCAGGGGGAAAAAAAAGCAAAAGGCAAACACTGTTATGTAACTATTCTGTGATGTTAACTGAAACGTCACATCCTGCTGAGGATGGCCGATGGTGCTGACAAAAAACAGGAGGCTTACAGAGGGAAACTGATGTCTGCCCTCAGGTGAGCAGGGCAAAAAAAAGGAGCTACAAAGCAGCTGGGCATCTGCTGTGGGAAAGGCACACAAAGAAAAATGCACTATTATATTGGCAGCTGATGCTCACACCTGAATAAATTCTCCAAGCGTGAGCATGCAGCAAAGTTTCAACATAAGATCTATTATTCTTCATCAGCTTTCAAAAAACATTAAAAGAAGCCTCTTCCAACACTAAAAATAACATTTTCCTTTAAAATAACTGCTTTCTAATTTACCCCTACAAAGGAGGTCACTTTTCCTCTCGTGTTATCTCAAGCATCATCCCTCCCTTCGGAGGGAGCTGCAGCTGCGGGAGTCAGGGGGAAGCAGCGCTAGCCCGACCCAGCCCGGTGTCAGGAAAATTAATCCACGAACACCAGAGGTTTATGTCCAAAAAGGAGACAGAGGAGTCCTTTTACTTTATTCGAATAAATGGAGAGGCCATGGGGCATTCCCCTGGGATGTCTCCAATTTTTGGAGGACCCAGTCTCCCTTTTTATTCCAATTTCCCGGCCGCATTTCCCTCTCTCTTTCCCCGTTGGCTGAGGTACTTGAGAGGTACAGACTGCCCGGAACGCCTGATACCTGAGATTCCCCTCTAATGTGCAACCCTCCCTTTTAATTTTTAATTCTTAGAGAATTCATAGTTTTCCCCATTGCTTCTTTCATCTTTCAATATCCGATTTCATTTATCAGCAAACCTACAGTTTGTTTGTAAAGGCAAGTATATATATATATATATATATATATATATATTTTCCATTGATCAATCAGTGGAATCCATCCCACTGTTTTTCTTTTATCTCTCAGTGCTGGTTTTATCTACCAGCAGGCGCACAGCTTGTTTGTAAAGACAAATCCCTCGTTCCTGTCAGCAGGGCTGTGCCGGGACGGGGCGGGCAGGGCGCTGCCGTCCTTAAAGCCTTGGGCGGGCGGTGCTGCCGGGCAGCGCTCCTGGCTACAGCCATGGCCACCAGCGTGCAGCTCTACACCGGGGCCGGCATGCCCGTCATGGGGCTGGGCACATGGAAGGTAACGGGGCCATCTCCTCCGGAGGGGTCCGGAGCCCTCGGGGGTGGGCAGGGAGCGGGGACAGCTGGGCTCGGTGTCACATCCCCCTCGCCATCCTCGCCATCCCGCCCGGAATGCTCTGTCCCTCCGCTGCTCCCCGCAGGCAGAGCCCCGGCGCTGCTTTTGAAGCTGCTTTCCCTGCTGTGCCCTCCGTCCCTGTCGCGGGGCAGAGGTGACCCTTGGGTGTCCTCAGCCCGTGAGAGGGGCGGCTCCGTCCCTCCCGTACTCGCCAGGGATGCGCGGATATCATCCATCAATCCATCATCCACCATCCATCATCCATCCATCATCCATCAATCCATCATCCATCATCCATCCATCATCCATCCCCTGCTATCCTGACCAGGCTCCCGAGCCCCCCCGGTCCACTCTCCCTGCGCTTCCCCTGCTCCTGCACCGAGCATTTCCCTGCCCTTCCCGTGTCCCTGCACTGAGCATTTCCCTGCCCCTTCCCCTGCTCCTGCACTGAGCATTTCCCTGCCCTTCCCATGTCCCTGCACTGAGCATTTCCCTGCCCCTTCCCATATCCCTGCACCGAGCATTTCCCTGCTACTTCCTTGCTGAGTAACTAATCTGGGCGAGGTCCCCGGGAATCATCTGGTAACGAGGTAGGGCTTTAGAAAACAATCCATGCGTTTCAAGCAAGTTCTGACAAAGAGGTTTGCACTGTTGTTACGATGACTACAAAACCACCGATCTATACAATTGCTGGATTTTTGTGAACAAGATATGCCAACATTTCTTTGTGCCCAGCTCTTACGAGTCATTTCAGGGTATAAGAACACATAGAATTGCACACCTCCTCTGTCTCTGAAGGAAGCAGCTGACATAAAGTTCAAATTACAGGTGGGATGCCCCAGGACAAGCTTGCATAGACCACATGACAACACCCCAAAGTGATGTGGATGACTAAGGTGTAGACCACTGCCCTCCTCATAGAACTAGAATTCTCCCAGCTGGGTCATTGTTTCTCTTAGACACAGCGCTGGGAAGTGAGGAGTGTTGAGCAAGAGGCACTGCAGAGCTCCCTGGCACAAAACTCGGTTCCCCTGGTCCATCTCTGGCAGTGTTGTGGGCTTTGCTCTACCTGGCTGTTGTCTGAGCCTGCTTGGGATGGGTCTATGGATCAATGGCTGGAGGCTGGCTTCAAACCCAACAGCCTGCATTTGTAAGATGAGGAGAGCTTTAAGAACATGGCATGGAAATACACTACTTAAAAAACCCCATTGTATGTGTTTCTTTAGCTGCTAGATAACTAGGGAATGGCCTGTATGCTTTGATTTGGGATCTGAACATTCTTTTTGCAGTCTGAAGCCGGGCAAGCAAAAGCTGCAGTGATGGCTGCCATCGATGCTGGGTACCGCCACATTGACTGTGCCTATGCATACCACAATGAGAATGAGATTGGGGAAGGGATCCAGCAGAAAATCAAGGAAGGGGTTGTGAAAAGAGAAGATCTCTTCGTGGTCAGTAAGGTAAGGTGACCTAGGATCCAAGGGAAAGCTGTGTGCCAACATATTCATAGAGGGAAAATTCAGAGCAGTGGGGAAAGGCTGTGTGCTATAGCATGGAGTAATTAGGAGGATAGTTCAGACCCATACTGGTAGAAACTTCTTTTTGTCACTGTATTTTGTAGAGCATAATTTGTGTTCCACATTCTCCATTTTCATGGGACTGTTCAAAATAGGTGTTAAGTGAAAATGGTCCCAGAAAGTGTGCTAATTTTTTTCCCTTCTGCAGGAAAGAGCTTCAGCCCAGGAGGTCACAGTCTGCCTTGGTTTTTTTTTTTTCTCTAGCTGTGGTCTACTTTTCATGAGAAGTCTCTGGTGAAGGGAGCCTGCCAGAAGACCCTTGCCAACCTGAAATTGGATTACCTGGATCTCTACCTCATGCACTGGCCTATGGGGTTCAAGGTACAGTAAAAGCAGTGCCCTTGGTTTTCTCCCCTGGGAGAGCTCCTCAGAAGTGCCAGGAGCACTTGCAACACCACTGCTGCTCCAGAAAGAGCCTGTGCCTGTTGTGCCAGCACTGCTCTGGAGCTGCCCATCCCACCCTGCTCTGCCCCTGATCTCTGCCCCAACACCACTGCCTGCACAGCATTCTCTGCCCTCCTGATAATGGGGGGCAGACCCAGCACTAAGGTCAGGCTCTGCCTGCACGATTGACTCACGTTGCTTAACTTTGGGCTGAATGATCCTTTCCTGCTTTGAGGGAAGGAAAGCTGTACTTTGCTGCCTGACAGAAATTCTTTCCTCTGCGTGTTACAGAATCACAGAACAAGAGAATGTTTCTGTCTTCCATTTCTTTCTGTAATCACTGACTCCTTAATACAGTACAGATTGAGCTGTAGGAGCCTTAAAGTTGTTCCACAGACCCTGGATTTCAAAAGGTGAGACTTTGTGACATCCATATCAGAAGTACATGAAATACATCCCATCCTTCATGTACTCCAAAGGAGCTGATGGCTCAGTCTGTGTCTAGTCTTGGCTTTTTCTTTCTGCTGCAGGCAGGTTAAGACCTCCATCCTATCTGTTGATTTTGAGCTTGTCAACTGCTTGTCCCACTTGCAAAGCTGTTATGGTTAGTTTTATGTGCAAAAAGAGCTTGAGTAAAAGTGTCATGGCATAATCATCTGACATCTGCATACTGGATGTGGAGCAACGTGGAAATGTGGAATTATATTTCTGAGTTTGTACATCTGGGGTGTTCTGATTTGCCACCAACTTTAACTGAGGCTCTCCTCACAGAACACCTGTGAACATAATACCTTGTTCAGCAGATGTGGCTTAGCCTGAACCTGACTTAAATGCTCCTGGGAC